TATACAAATTTATATATATAAAAAAATACTTACATAGTTTATACGTTTGAGAGTGTAATTATAGGTAGATAATGAGATTAAAGAGTGAATGTTTATAACTTCTGTTAAAATGGATTATTTTCTCAGAAAATCGCACGTATACGAAGAATACGGACCTTTTTTAAAGATGGCACTTGCGGTTTTTCAATGCAAAAGAGTTTCTAAGTACGTTAAAAACGCAATTTAATTTTTCACTGAACATTTGGTAGGTAAGAATATTTTTACGCAAGTGGCATATGTTTTGATCTCCCTTTGGGCGTTTTACCATTATTTTGCTTTTCTTCGGCTGGTTTAGGACGAAGGATAAAATTTAAATTAAATGCTGTATTAACTGCATAATAGACATTAGCATTTTGTGGAAGCACTAATTCTGAAACAAATTAATTGAAATACATAAAAATCACCTCTACGAGATTTTATAGCTAAAAAGAAATAGTTTAAATAATTGTTGTCCTATAAATTTTTATCATATGAACTTATATGAAGATGCTCAGTTGCAAGAGGTGTTTCAAAATCTTAAGAGCCATGAATTGCGCGAGGGGATCAGGAGATTCTAAACTATCTCTACGGAAATTTGTTCGTTTGAATAAACAATTTTTAAAAACGTTAAGTGGCTTTCGTTTACAAATTGTACACTTTACTTGCTTTTAATATGTGTTAGATAATTAATATTATTTACACATTTTTAAATATACTATACACAACAACAACAAAAATAAAAACTTACCCCGATCAGGAAGAACTTGAGCTAGAGAGTAATTGTCAGGGCTGCCTTCCAGGCCGAGTTTCATCATCGCATTCCGTATAACTTGCGGAGTTCTGTCATTATTGCTCAACATAATACTTTTATATAAGACCACACCATCAGTTTCGGTACAGTCCGTTTCATAAGTTACTTTAATTATATAAAAATCAGGACTACTTTTCTGAGAATTACTAGGACTTAGAGTGCCTGAATTAGGCGGGGGTAGCAATTTATTATTTGCACTTCCCGAATGGGAACTATTTAAAGATGCGTCTAGAGAGGGTAAAGATGAGCAACTGCTCGAATTGGACATGCGCGATGGACTTAATTTTCGATCGATACTATTATGAGGAGAACTAGGAGTACTATCAATCTCGTAATAAAATTGAGAACTGTTACTGCTAGACGTACTGGCCACTGAGTCGTTCTTTTTGTGCCCCATGCCCTTTTTATTTCGCGTTTTGTTAACACCTGAAGTATTCGAACTTGGTTCGATTTGACAGCTGAGCAAATAAGCATCTCTATCGTCCAATACGAGGATAGAATCGAACCACGTGTCGAAATCAGGATCTTCCGGTAACTGATAAGCGTTTGCAGCACCCTGAAGCAGTTTTATTTGAGCAAGAACTTCAAATTCTTTGCGTTTCTTGTCAAAGTTTATCAGTCCGTCCTGAGTTATGTCCGGAATGGCGGTATCGATCATTGTTAAATCAGTCAAAAAAGTCCCTAAATATGGGATGGTCCCGAATGAGATATTGGCAACGTGATTATGTTGTCTTTGGAACACTTTTTGTAATTGTTTATCGTTCTCGCCCACTGTGTCTGCAAATTTAGCTGTACCTTCTCTCATGAGCAACTCTCGTTGAGTCCACTGGTTGTTATCTTCGCTAAAAATTCTCGCCAGCTCTTCGAAAAGTTCGATCTTTTCTTTTGATACAGACAACCAGGTCTTTTGCAACCGATAAATGGGATTGCTCTGCAACCCACTAATTATTGCTTTTAAGCTCGAGAAGTTCTTTAAAACCCTCAGTTCTTGAGCAATGTCTATCCAACACACTATTATCTGAGCTCTTTTAGACGGATTTAAAGTGACATCGACTAGTACAGAAGAAATGACGCGGAAAGAAACTGCGTTAAACTGGTTTATTGTGGCTAATACTGTAGCGGCTTCATGAGAACGACTTTTGTCTCTCCTAGACCATACAGCTCCTAAACATTGATGCGGAACCAATTTTTTAAATAGTGCCTAAAAAAACAACAATCCCGTACGTGTATGAGGATATATCTGGTCATGTTACTTACAACATCCATTCTGGTCAATTGTTCGGCAAAATGCCTGACAGGTACACATGGTAACTTGTAATTTTTCCATCCTGTACCACCAGCAGCTGCCCTAATGACAAACGCTGGTGTTTGGTTAAATAATGAATCGCTACTTTGTTCTCTTTTGTACTTTTCGATCCTGTGACGAACTTTAGCTTCCAGTTCGGTAGCAATGAGATGCTCCTCGCAAAATTTTAACAATTGTTCGAGGGCAGGATGGTCTGGAGATTCCTTAAAATCTTCAGGATAACTGTCCAACCAAACATGGAGAGCTGATACTAATGTTCTAGGATGAAACAGATAATATTATTACTTTATAATACTTGAGAAATCCACCTTAATCATTTTGAAATGAAACATTAAAAACTATGGGGAAAAATACTATATATGTAGTTACCTTTTTTGTTTCAGTTGAATAATTCTACTAAATGGTAATAACACGATAAATTTAAAAACATTATTTGTTTTTACCACAATACAATTCACGATCATTAAGGAAAATTTTATTATTGGAAATGAATCACTTATTTCTGTTTAAAAAGGTTATTAATAATACTATATGTAGTAATGATTGATTTACAAATACATGAGTGATATTCCTTACAAAAGTACCTTGTAGTAAGCGTGTTTGTTTACAATAATGAATAATTTTGTAGGTGATAATAAGTGCATAGGTACATGCTAAACTAACTGTACTGTCATACTACAAATTAAAATAATTAATCTGTAACTTACTTTTTGTGCTGTTCATGTTTATTACTGTGACCATTACAAGAAGCTTCTGATAGTTCTTCATAGCGCTGCAAAAGAATTTTTAAAACTTCTTTGGGGTTGGAAAAACTACGATATGTAGCTAGAAACACATTAATGTACGTTGTTTCTAGCTCTCCATCGTCTGTGGCAAGAGCTTCCACGAGTTTTTTTAATGTGCCTGCTTTCACAAACCGAACTCTTACAGTTTCCCATTCTAAATGAGATATTTCATCATCTGAATCCTGCAACAAAATTAATGACATTAAACTCAGGAAAACAAATAAAAAATAAATACTAAGCAAATTCTTTATTGACATTTGAATGGAAAGTTAAAAAAAAAAATGTTCTGAATGAAAAGTAGTATCGCGTGTGGCTCATATTCGACCTATTTATTGAATTGAACTCGGTACTCTTGCATGCTAGGCAAGAAATATCCTACTAAAACGCCGATGCTTCTTGTACAGTTAATCTAATTTAAGTGTTATCTACTGGTGTTAATTACAAATTAATTTGAATTAAATTTTACCTGCCTTAATGGCATCATAAACACATGATTTTTCTGTAAAGTAACCTACTTCCTGACTATTGTATAATTTTCATTATCTTTATAAAAAAGTTAGGATAATTTGTACTATTATATGGCCAATATGAAGTCGAGTATGTTAATAGTAGTATATTTATTATTTATTTATTTCATAATTCTTTTTATTATTCTGCTTTATACCTTATAAACAATAAAGTATTTACAGTGGTAATTGTTAGTAACTACCTTGTATGCATCATACTACATGTTCTCAAAGGTACAATAGATTTGAAATGTTTCTAAAATGGATATAATACGATGTACCATATTTCAAATACGGTTTCACGGTAATGGTATTACTAAGAACCTTGAATTGACTACTTTTGTTCAATAAATAAATACACGCAAGCTCATGAAAAAAGGCGCGTAATTATCTACTGCTGGTTGTTACACGTATGGTCAATTTATTTTTTTTTTATAGATCAGTTAAATGGAATTTTTTTTACAAAAGTTATCATCAACAATAAAAGTATTCGCTTCAAAAAATGAAATAATGATTAGACAAAAACTGCAATTGTTATTAACGTTGATTAATCGATTTTTTAATGGATTTGTTATAGTTACCGAGTTTGATGTTGATATGTTTCTGGTTGGACGATGGTACCGGACCTTTTTTAGGTAAACTGTGTATACTGCTCCTTCGGACCTTTCTTCTCCCCAAAGACGCCATGTTGGCTGCTGAAACAAATAGAATACTGTGAATTTAAATAAATTATAGTAAGTATTTATTCTCTTCTTAACTTTAAATAAATAAATTATACCAAAAAAATATTGCCTGTGTTAACACAAAAGATTTCCCGAAATGGAAATAAAGACATTGCATTAATGAATAGTTTTTCTCAACGGAAAACTTAATAAAGACAATNTAACTTATTAAATAAAGGGAACTGTTCATTAGAACGTTTCAATCTTTTAACAGCAGTTCTATAGCACTTCCAAGGTTGAGGTTCAATCACAACAACTTCACCAAGATTCAAGACTTGATAAATAAAATTTTCGAGTCCTTTATCACCATGGTTCAAATGTATCCACATTGTAATAGAAAAACAAAAAATTACATTAAACTTGCTTAGATTATTATCTATTAAATAGTTTAATATGTAACTTCTGCCATTTTCATTCATAAAATCTAGACACAGAAATTTTAATTTATTGCAAGGTCTTTTATCTTTGGCTCTTTCTATTAATACTGGATCTATATCAACTCCAATAATTTCACAGTCCTGAGACAACTTTTCTTCTAGAAATGAATGCAATAGATATGTTAAGTCCTGGAATATGCACATATAATTATCTTTATAAATAATAATTACAATATATTTCATACCCCTGCATTTGAACCAATATCAAGGGCAAAAGTTTTTTCAGTAAATGTGGACCATATTTCCACTCCAGAAGGCAAGAGTCTCAATCTGCTTTGAGGCGAATGAAATTGATAGTAGTTTATAAAGTTGCCATACTGAACTGCACCTGGATTTCCGTTTTTAAAATTTAATTCTAAAGTATTTATACCTTCTTGCCTACTTTCATCCATAATTAAGTTTAATAATTCATCAGAAAATTAACAACCAACATATGTTAACTATACCTAACAATTCACTATGGCCTATAAATATATGTGATTATGTATATGACCATGACCATTCACCATAGCCATTGATCAGACTATACCACACACAATACTATCTACATACAAAAGTCATTTATGATTCGAAAAAAGCTTAAAAATCAAAAATATTAAAAATTCAACAAAACCGAAATTTGATTGTTGTTATCCATAGTTGTGATCCCTTTGTTATCATATGGTCATATGATCATATAATAGGTTATGATTACGTTATGTTTACTTTCTTCTTTGTTATACGTGATTAAAAAAATCATAAAACTTAATCAAATGAATAAAACTGAAATAAAAGCTCTGAAGAAAGGAATTATACAGATTTAAAGTAGTGTTGAACTCAGCCAGTGAACATGAAAAACTTCAATCATTAAATAATAATCTCATCAGTTACATTAATTACAAACAATACATATGTTGTTTTTTGTGCAGATAAATATAAAGTTACATAGAACCTTTGTACTTGTGTGTGTCATTTGATAATAACTGTTTTGTGTGATAGTGAATTGTAGCGAAATATAGAAAATTCGGTTATACATAATTGATAGCTACTTATAATAACAAAAACATTAAACATTAGCTAATAGCAGTATCTTAAGAAGAATAATTACAAAGGGCAAGTTGCATTTATATATTTTACATTTATATAAGGTAAATTTTGATTTTTTATTGTTATTTAAAATGAGTAAATATGTGTTTATATTTTAGTAGCAATTTTGTTATAGCTTTATTACAATGGAAGAATCACTTATCAGTAATAATGAAGATAGCACTTCACGAAATGAAGAACTAGATGATACTGAACAAACTTGCTGTTATACATGCTGCAACCCAAGAGGAAAATCGCACAGATTTGTTGCACTCTTTTTTATGTGCTTTTTGAGCTTTGGTATGTTTTGTAAAGTGAAATATGTTTATTTGGGAGAATCTTTTTAAAAGAAAAAGTTTATAGTAGAGCATAATTTCATAGGCAAGAAACACATTAAATCAAATTTAATTTTTTTAAGTTTCTTAATACAACTTTGCTACATAGCTTTTGTTATAATATAGCTGACAGATGATAATTTGTATACTGTAAAATCAAAGGGAAGTTAATTCGAAACATGATATCATATACCAATATAGGATGAGTATTATGCAACCCAACATACATTATTATTTTAATTATACAGATTACTCGAGCAAAGTTTGGCAACCTGTTTTTTCCTATTGACTGAAGACTCGTATACTTAAATTATTTTAATTTTAGGTTCATATTTTTGTTATGATAATCCAGGAGCCCTAGAAGATAATTTTTTAAAAGATTTAAATATTACTACAACAAAATACTCTCTGTTTTATTCATTATACTCATGGCCAACAGTGGTGCTGTGTTTCATAGGAGGATATTTAATAGACAGGTATTTTATATAGTCACTTTTAAGTAGCCTTATTTTCATATTGTTTATTTATTTATTTCTTAGTGTTTTTGGAATCAGATTGGGAGCTAATATTTATGTGACAATTACATTATTTGGACAAATATTGTTTGCTAGTGGTGCTCTTTTTAATACATTCTGGTTAATGGCTATGGGTAGATTCTTTTTTGGGTGAGTATTATTTTTTGAATAGTCTGGTACATCCTCAATTTTAATATAATATTCAGTGAACGTTGCCTGAAAGTGTAAATGTTAACTACTTGGGTACTTGGTATAAGGGTGAAGACAAATAGTTGTTTTGTTGATTTTAAAAATAAAGTGGAATAAATTTTCCTAAATAACTCAAAATGTAAAAATTGATTCATTTCAGAATGGGTGCTGAACCTTTAGCAGTTGCTCAAAATAGTTATGCAGTGCTGTGGTTCAAAGGGAAAGAGTTGAATATGGTTTTTGGTCTTGTACTTAGTCTTGCACGATTTGGAAGCGCAATTAACTTTTGGGTAATGCAACCCATATATGAATGGGTTAATAAAACATATCAGGGCTATGAATGTCTAGGAATAGTCCTTTTTATAGGTAACAATCAAACGTGAGAATTTTAATAACCATAACATTTTCAAATTTTTATTAAAAAAATCCAAATTTGAACTAATAATCTTTTCAAGGATATTTGCTATAATTCTGTCATTTTTAGCGAGTTTTACATGTATATTTTCGTTACTATTTTCCGTTATTCTTGGATGTATCGATAAAAGGGCCGATTCAGTGTTGAATCGAAGTCAAAATCAGAACTCAGAGATAATAAAATTTAGAGACATTTTAAGATTCGATGTGACTTTTTGGTTAGTATCAATTGTTTGTGTAACCTACTACGTCTCAGTGTTTCCATTTATTTCTTTGGGAAAGTAAGTTACATTTTCTATACTTCCCCTAATAGTAGTAATTATGAAACCTGATATTTTCTGTTCAGAGACTTTTTTATGAAGAAGTTTAAAATGGACTCGGAGGCTGCTAACATAGTTAATAGTTTAGTTTATTTAGTTTCTGCATTTGCCTCACCAATTCTGGGATTTTTGGTGGATAAAACTGGAAAAAATGTGTTTTGGGTAGTGGTTTCTGTTGTGTTAACTACAGCAGCACATTTTTTACTTGCCTTCACTGCTCTTAATCCGTATGTTAGTATGGTAAGTAATATAATATAATTTTAATTCACGCTAATATGAAGCCTTCATCGCTAAATGTAGGCATATAAATTACAAAAAAACAAAATTTTGAGAAAGAAGCATTTCATTAACGGAAAAAGTAATAACTTTTTTATTTTCATAAATTTTTAATTTACACCTAAAGAAAAACTATATATGAATTTAATTATCTTTTTATTCGTCGTCGCGAATCTATCTACTATGTAAATAGAAGTATGTGTAGTATTACTCTTAATACTCAGAAAAGTTATACATACATATAACTTGCACTTTTGTTATTTGCTTTAGATTTTCATGGGTCTTGCGTACTCAATGTTGGCAAGTGGACTGTGGCCATTAGTGGCTCTTATAGTTCCACAAAATCAGTTGGGAACAGCTTATGGATTGTAAGAATAACATGTACGAAAAAGGTGTCATTAATAGTTCATATGCATTTTTTATAGGTGTCAGTCTGTACAAAATTTAGGCTTGGCATTGGCTAATTATATAGCAGGGAACATAGTAGATCATGCAGGGTACTTTTGGTCAGAAATATATTTTATAACTAATTTATGTGGTAAGTGACTAATAAATTTTATTAAACTTTAATTTTAAATAATTCTATGCGTTTTTTAGTCTCATTAATGATTACATTGGTTGTATGGATCGTTGACTCAAAGAAGGGAGGAATGCTTAATATGACACCTGCCAATAGAGAAGCCTATAATCAAAATCGATTGTAATTACCCTTTCTTTTCAGAAATAATAACCTAATTTAGGCCTATTATTTTCCCGTGTAGAAGACACTTTTTTGTTGAAAATTTTTAGATGCAGTAACACTTTTAAAATACTATTTCTACAGTTCCATATCACTTTAAGCATGAAATTTGTCACAGTAATTTTTGCTACAGATTCTGGGATACTTGTATTGTAGTTTGTGTTCTTATTTTATAAAATTAGATATTGCCTGTTATATGTATCAATTCTGCTTTATTATTATACTTATATATATTATAGTTAATCTCTTGACCCAAAATTACAAGTTTATTTAATAAATAATAAATTTACAGGGAAGCGGAAAGGGACGAAGAAGAGAAATTGATAGCAGACGGAAGTTCGTCTGTGCAAACCAGTTCTGATTTTGAAGTACGAAATAGATATTTATCACGAATTGGAGCACCAGTAAGTGAATAGAAAAATTAACGTTGAAAATCTTACTAAGACAATTTCAGCTTCCACCTCACTACGACGCAAACGTAAAACGTTTAAATTGTAGTATGTTATCTTAAAATTGATTTCGAATTAATTTTTTTTTTATAGTTGATATTATCTCTGTTTTTGAGACTGTTATTATCAAAAACATTTAAAATGTATATTCATTAAAAAAAGACAACTATATCGTTACGTTTAAAAATTTTAATATAGACAGACTATACAATTCAGAAATATTTACTCATTTGTGCATATTAATTATTAAGATATTTTTTAGCTTGATAACTAATTAAGATGAGAAAGATCTTTCAATGGCTGTTTAATCTGTAGTGTAGTATGTATTTTTTACAATTTAAATATGTAATAATAGTAATAAATAAGTGAAAACTGAAAGGCTATGTTTTCTTTTTACTATTAATTTATTAATTAAAAGCTAATGGTTTACTATATGTATAAATAATTTTTTTAAGTACAAAAATATA